TGTAACGAAAAACTACTAACACGACATCGGTTTACATTATAATTTTAATTAATTCACACTTTTACTTAAAAAACATATCAACTATGTCTATTCAATATATTTACTAATAGATAATAATTAAAATTACCTAGTCTTGATGTCTTTAAAAAATCAATAAAATCTCCTAATTGCCAATAACAATTATTTAATTTTCCAATGGCAACTCGTTAGACAAGGACCTACTACTACAAATCTAATATCTCTAGTAGACCGTTTTTCTACTCTGAAATGTGACATAGAAAAATAAACCTTATTTTATATTAGATAAAGTGTAAGTTTGATTTTAAGAAATATATCAGTACGCAATCCAGTTTAAGTTGACATTCGTGCTTAGGGCCACAGACTTACTCTAAGGCCATAGAACACTATTGAGGTACGGGCTGCCCGAACGTTACTTTTGTAACGTATTGCGTTACTTTTCGATGCTGATGACTTTACTGTATGCATAATATAAAGATTGTTTTTTTATATGTATTAATATTTTCATGTTCTTATCTCTTAATACACGTTTTCCATCGGCTTATGTAGTTTGTGATCGCAGGCAAATAATAAGTATGGCAAAAGGCCTATTATTTGTTTATGATTAGATATTATGATTCATGAATTATTTACCTCTTTGAAAAATACTTTAACACAAAAAAATATTAAATTAAAACTTAAGCATCACTTTTTAGAATGACTCAATTTGAATTAAATCGATTATATTACTAAACATATTATTTATTATATATATTAAACACCTGCTTGATTCTCTTTTTGTGTATTTATATATTGTTAAAAGTATTTTAACTTTAAGAAATGTTGTAATAATATTGAACACGTACTTATGCATGTAAATATAAAATGTTTTATACGCTTCCGGCTTTCTCTATACAACTTCTAACGTCTTGCAAGTGACTTCCATCTCATCATCGTCATGTTTAAGCACATACATTTTAGACGAAATAGACGGAAGGCCTGTTAATATTTCGTGTTGCAAATACACAACATTACAAGTTTACTACACCTTATCTTCAGAGAGTAGAGGTAGGGATTTATAAGATAGACTGTTGTAATAGAAAATACTATAGGTATCATGACAAATTTGTATTTATTTTCAGAACACTGTTATTTATTTTTTACTTGAATATAAATGTCACTGTATAATTTCGGATTAGAGTAATGATAAAGTCAATATTTTGATGTCTTGTACTTGGATGAATAAATACTAGGGTTATCATAATTTGTTTCGGTGGATCAAATCTCCTATTTACTACATAATTCATATTTTAGCGTCGTTTATCAATATTAGTCTTATATTATATATTAAAAATATAAAAGTTTACGATATTTTATCATCAAGTAAATACCCTCCCTCCGTCTGATATGTTTGTGTGAAACACGAATGTCAATTTAAACTGGATTGTGCAGTGTTTCATTAAAAACGGGCAGAGTGAGAGAGTAAATTAGTAACTCTTCATCTCTGTCTTAGTAGTTTTGTAGGATGTCCACGCGTTTTTAATAATTTCATAAATAGGTAATATTTAATAATGTTTACATGACCAAATTTAAACATTAACATATCGACGGTGGAATGAAAAAAGTTACCAAGCGACATTAGGGGCCAAAATGAGATTTTTATATATTCGGAATCAGCGAATTTTTCTCTATCGATTAGTCTTAGTCCCATGTCTCTACGAACACTTTTGATGTCGCTTAGGAACTCCATAACAACAGGTATTTTTCTTGTTTACGGCGACCAAGCGACAACATTTTGACACGTTTTAAAAAACTAGGTATTTGGTGATATCTACTTGATATTTTTTTTCACTTGGTAATTTTAGCATTTACACAATTTTAATTCACTCTACAGTAAGTAAATTCTGCCTGTCCACTGTTAATATCAAATTGGTACTCGGAAATTTTTACCTGAAATACATTTATTTATTTATGGTATTTTTGACTCTTACAAATCTTTGAGATGATTTTTCTGTCGTTTAGTAATTTTTGACAAACCGTAGTCATATCGAAGATCAATATAGTCACTTTTACTTGCCGAAAATAGAATAATATATGGCGCTTGGTACCTTTTTACCTGCCGTTTTATTCGTGAATTGTGTTACTTGGATACCTATTACTGAAAAAATATTTATTGTCCTCCATTTTTCAGCTAGACTTTTATCCTTTAGGATCCTAGAAACATAAGAGCAATTTTGTCATGGTCAGCATAAGAAAATTATTAACTCTGAAATGTGACATAGAAAAATAAACCTTATTAATATTAGATAAAGTGTAAGTTTGATTTTAAGAAATATATGAGTACTCAATCCAGTTTAAGTTGACATTCGTGGTGTGAAAACATTAATTTTGAACTTGTGTAATTTTTGAAGCACGGTTCCCAACTTAGGGGTTTTCCCCCCAAATTTAGGGGGTAAATGAGTGGGATGGGATTTTTTTGGGGGTTTTATATGTTTAGGGGTATTTTTAGGGGTTTTCTGAATACATAATATTCTGTAATTCTGAATCTAACAGAACTATTAAATCCAATAATAGTCATTCAAATATTTTTTTACCCATTGAATGACTTCGAACTGGATAACATCTAATGTAATTAGAATGGTGGATCATGCTCTACATTTAATCCATCTTCAAAAATGTTAAGTTTATGTAATGTGAATATATATGATTTTAAAAATGCGGTTCTTCAGAAGATATTGATATAAAATATAACTATACCGTTTTAGATAATATATTAATAAAGAAATATTACTACATATTACTTTTATTTTATATATTATTTTTATTAAATATATTTTTAGGGGAATTTTCAAATAATTGAGTCATTTTTAGGGGGTTTTGACTTAGATTTAGGGATAAATATTTTTGAGAGTTGGTAACACTGTTTTGAAGATACTGCACTAGCAACACTGGACCAGTCAGCCAGCCAGACGAATAGAAACAGCTGTTGTGTTAAATTGTTTTTTCAATTTATTTATCTGTTGGGTAGTGATTAATAGTACATTTTTATTCGTTTGATGTTTATTTTAATGCGTTTACTATTGTTTTCAAGATTTGATCGAGCGTAATAAAGCATATTAGAGTGTTACATTTTTTTGTTATTGTCAAGACGCAATAACTATATCACAATGTCCAGTGAAATACCTGGCACTCCGACGTCCACAATGGGTAGCGCTCAAGCTTTAGAACCTGCCGATGAAGAAAATCAGAAATCTTGCTGGGTGTGTTTTGCTACTGAAGCTGACGACCGCCTCGCTGCATGGGTTCAGCCGTGTAAATGTATCGGTACTACAAAATGGGTAAGTAATTTGTGTCTGCTTTCAGTTCCATTCCGTTTTGGCAATACATTTTCCGGTGTTCTGTAGACAAGAGAATGTATACTGTGTGACATACATAATAATGTAACTTATTATGAAATGTGAAAGCTAGCTTCATTAATTATGAGATTGGCTTAAATAAGTAATTCTTGTGCTAAATCTGCTATATTGCCATGTGTACTTCTTCAAAAAGCTTTTCCTAGAGATTTTTCATAATTAATCTTTATGCAATCAATGTAGATTTTGCTAAGTTAAACTTATTTATAAGTTAAAAAATAAATTATCTGTCCTTGTCTTTTGTAATAGGTACACTTTTTTTGGTGAGTAACAAAAAAGATCAAAATTAAATCTTGTGTTAAATTGAAACATTAAAGATAGTTTAAAATTAAATGGAATATTTTTCTTACATATTGTTTATTTGTAACAGTGTCTAGGCGGCTTAAAACTACTGTAGGTACTTATTAAAACAAATTGTGGAGTTTAATGTTGCCTAATCAATTATGCAAGGACAGTTATATTATGATGACAATATTGAGATTGTTGCTTTCCACAACATCACCCCACATTGTTTATTTTCGAATTATCATTAATATATTTGATTGGTTAATTAAATAAGATTCTTTTTCGATAATTTTATCTAAGGTAATGATAAAAGTCATAATTTGCTATACTTAGGTGGCAAGCTTATTATGTTATCATTTTTGTGTATACAGATAAAACATTTTTGTTTAAAATTTTGTGAATTATAAACGGTTGAAAGTAGATAATTTTTTGTGGCAATTGTGATTTTGTGACATCTTTTGAAAACATATCAGGTAATAATTCAGCTTGCAATAGTTGCATTAGATATGCAACTATTATATGCTAGAAAGCTATGAATTCATGGAGATTATTAATAATAGAATGCAATTTGACAAAATTAACCTTAGTTTAAAGACTTCATAAAATGGTTTTTAGTTTTAAATGAAACATAAAACAGCTATAGACTATTGTATGTGTGTGGCTGAATAATATAAATTAGTGAATGAATAGTCTTACTTGATGTTGGGGCTCAATTTTATTTTATTTTTTTATTTTATTTTATTTTGGTACAGCAACAGAAAACAAATCAAGATCACATGCTTACAATTAGGCATAATTAATTAATTTATTGTTTATTTGCCTTCCTATAACTGCTGGACATGACACTTAAATAGTACATGTATTATCAGTAAATATGACAATGAATGAATATTAAATAAACTTAAACATAAACAAGTTCAATGATAATAGAAAATTAAATCAAAAATTTAGCATTATCTAATTTTCTAATTTATTTAATAAAACAATCCCACTTATGATATTATTTCTGAGGTACTCTAATTCTAAACAAATTGATAATGTTATTGAAATATTTGAAATATAAACATAAGAATGTTTACTTTTTTTTATATTGTGTGTGACTATGATATTGTACTCCCATTTGAGAAACAGTTTTGTGTGTATGTTTCATCATTAGCTCTTTTACATCCTCACTGCAGGAGTTCAGGGCTTTCTTATGGGTGGAATTGAATAGGGAGAAAGAGCCATAACCCATGCTGACCTAATACAGATTGGAGGGTCACTGTAAATGCAGCTGGGGTAAAGGTCTTAATGGGCTCACTCATCCCATGACCGACTCTTGCAAAAGTTGCTTAACATCAACAATTGTGGAATGCGGTGCTTATCCACTACGCCACCAAGCTCCTCAGTATGTATATTAAACTGTAATATCATTATTCCAGGTTCACCAAAGTTGTCTACAGCGGTGGGTGGATGAGAAACAGAGAGGCAACATAACCCGAAAAGTCCTTTGTCCCCAGTGTAAAGCAGAGTATATAGTGGTGTTTCCTTCAATGGGGGCATTTGTAGCATTACTGGATGCTATGGAGGAGATCACCCATAAGATATGCCCTTTTATTGCTGGGGGAGTCCTGCTGGGTTCTATCTATTGGATAGCAATCACATATGGGGCCGTTACTGTTATGCAGGTAAGACATATTTTAAATGTATTAAGGCATGTGTACAGCAATAAGTAAAAGCAACTTTTCTGTAAGATTTTAATTAATATGCTATAACAAATAACAAATGAAAATTAATAAAATATTAATAAAATACCTGACTCTTGTGTAATTCAATCTCTATTTGAAAACGACTAGCCAAGTGTGAGTCAGACTTGCCCACATAAGGTTCTGTACCATTATCTATGAAAACTCACAGGAAGCCCTCACGTTAATATTTATTTTATTCGGTTTTTAGTATTTATTAAAGCAGCAAAGGAAATACATCATCTGTGAAAATTTTAACTGTTTATAAGATACACCCTCGTGACAAATGGACAGATAGCAAAGTCTTAGTAATAGGGTCCAGTTATACTCTTTGGGTACGGAACTCTTAAAAAGGGAGGTTGCTATAAGAAAGTTTGGTAAATAAATTACTCCATATTTCGCCTCCCCAACGCTGGTTAGCACGGTTATGTGGGGTTCAAGGAACCCCACTTACAAGAGTGCTAGTCAAATTGTAGAGCTAAAATCCTTCGATGTCCATATTTAGGTCCCAAACTGGACGCTCATTAAATATTCGTTTGGTTTTCGGTATTCGGCATCCTTTTCACTTCGTATTCTGCCGAATTATTCGGTTTTGGTGCCGAATATATTAAATTCTAACATTTCTATTTTCTTGGCTACAGGACACGGTATATAACTACCTATTATTAATAATAATCTAGCGTTACGGAATAATTGTTTTGCTTTTGTCGGTTATCAAGTCAATAATTCACGCAAGTTTAATTGATAACCTAAAGAGACTAAAATATCTAAATATTTAAGCTATTCTTTGTTTGGCTACATTTTCTCGGTAGGATAGGGCTCAGAAACACGATTATTTATATCATGTACCATCTAGTAAAACATCGATTGCTTCCAAAACTTTGCTCCAATTTTGGTTTAGAATTAATCAGGTTTGTTGACTGGTGTTTATCGAACCGTTCGCAAGCCTTGCTTTGATTATAAAATTACATTTATATCGTAGATAAAAAATTAGGCTATAAAAAAATGCGAGTGGGAGTCGCACACCAAGAGTTCTGTTCACGGAATCTTGTAGGTGTGTAAATAATAAGACTGCGTATTACTGGCAAAGATTACACATCAAAAATTCGGAATTTGAGTTTCAAATATTTTCCCCACTTTTTTCAGACTTTTACTTTTTCCCCGAAAATAATAGTATTAGAGCTACGCTCAACAAAATAATTATGTAACATTGAGTTCGATTTATGGATAACCAGTATAGTGGGCTACCTACGTGATTTTCAGCATTTGGCAACTTTTGCCAGCATCTGTGAAAATGTTCTTTAACTGGAATTATTTTGATGGACTTAATAATGAGCAATATAATTGTATACACCACCACCACCAGCCCTTTTACGTCCCCACTGCAGGGGCTCAGGCCTTCCTTATGGATGGTTAAGGAGTATGGGCTCCAAGCTGGCCCAATGCGGATTGGAGGGTATTAACGACTGCAAATGCAGCCGGGACCAACGGCTTAACGTACCTTCCGAAGCACGGAGTAGCTCGAGATAATAATTTTTTTTTGGTCACCCATCCCGTGACCGACCCTTGCGAAAGTTGCTTAACGACTACGATCGCGGGCCGCGGCGCTTATCCACTACGCCACCGAGCTACCGAGATAATTGTATAATTAATTAAAAGTCTTTAAAAACGGTTCGTTTAAAATTTTTAATTATTATCTTGGTAGTTTGCCTAAAATATGCAGATGTGAATATGTGTTAAGGAATATGAAAAACTTTCTAAATTTATTTTTTTACTTTGTAGTTAGCGCTTTGGGTACAGTGCGTTACAATAATTACGGACAATAAAGAACAGCGTATCGTATGCCACAGCAGTTAGTTTTGTTATAATCAGTGGCATGCGACTACGCTGTCCTTAGGTCTTCGCTATTATAACATTTCTTGTTTAAGTGTATTTGTGGATATATTGAAAATATTATACCTTTTATTACTAGTTCATTTTGTAAAAATATCAATTTGCATACTTATTCTGGATGGATTGTATTCAATGAAGAATAATAGTCTAAATATCCGAGTGGTTCGCCTAAAATCTGAGTTTACAAATTATATATACATATATATTAAAAGAAAACCGTTACTTATATGTCTATATTATGATAATTTTCACGAGCTGTCAGGGTCGTTCAGTTTATTGTACTCAAATATGTCAAATAACGGTATCGGATGACTTCGTACTGGTAAATCGTGACTAATAAATTTAGCGTCAAAGTATCTATCATAGTACTATGTTACGACCTCCGTAGCCGAGTGGTTCGCAAGTCGGTTTCAAGGTATCGCTATCTCTGAGGTCCCGGGTTCGATTCCCGGTCGGATCAATGTAGTATATGAACTTTTCTATATTGTCTTGGGTCTGGATGTTATGGTAAATTCGTTTTCTCAGATACTGCATAATACGAGGGCTTTATTTACTCTTCTTGGAATCTCAGCAATGTGTGTAATGTTTTTAATATTTATTACTAAAGACCAGCCCCGGAGATTTACGATTTTCTGAAACGTGGGCAAAAAAGACATCTATTATATCTGTGTGAGTAAAACATCTCACATATCTATTATAGACGTCATTGTTTCCTTCTATTCATAAATTAAATTAAAGTATTATTTCTTTTAAGAAAATGGTGTCCCCAGGAACTGTAGCCCAGAGGGACTTTGATACATATACAGTTATAATCCACTAGACACGCAATAGTGGGATATATAATGTTTTTTTCTTGATTTTCCCGTGGTGATTCCATGTGTCTAGTGTACAACTAACGAATGACCAAAATATTGTGCCAAATTGGTGTCATTCTTTATTATGTTAATAAATAAATGTCAAATTTTCAGTCAATGTAAGAATAATGTCTAGTTAAATTTTGTTATAAATTTAAGAGTTTCTAAAACAAAATAATACCAAGTTTTGCTAGTAATTCTACTGTTTAATTTATTTACTCGTTATTTTTATATTTTGCTTAGATTACTCCAAACAACAGCTTTATTTTTCAATTTGTGTTTCTTGGTACACGCTTATTTAAAAAGTCGTTACTTTCAAGCATCACTCGATGAGTTTGTGAAATGGTACATGATCTATTAAGCGATACGCGAATCGAAGAAAGTTTACGTAATATGACGCCACCGTTATGATACGTCACATCGTACGTCATCCGTTAGCCGCACACAGCAGGTTTCTTGACTTTCTATTGAGAAATATGATTGTCTATAAAGCTGACTGTCATTAATCATTAAAATAACATCAAAATAAATACATGTTACAACAAATGAAGAATTTTAATAAAGTCTATCATTTGGAGTTAATCTATCTTTTGCAAAGGAATTTAGAGGTTTCACTTTTTGTTGTATTTCAGTAACAAATCATAATTTTTCTTGCTGCCGGAGTCGATCGATCAGAGATTTTTGCTATGGCTGGCAAGTTGGGTGACCAACAAATTATTTTTTCAAGCACCTCCGTGCTTCGGAAGAGACCTTACCCAGGTAGCGCCATCCCAAAAGACTCCCACTCTTTTTCCAAATAGTTTATGAGTGTGAAAGATTCTGCTGATTTTTAAGTTTCATTGGTACAATTATTAATTAATTACCTATGAGTACACACGCACACTACAATACAGACTTATTAGGAGCGAGCGTTAAGATATGGTCAAAACTATAAATGATTTGGAAGAAGAATGGGGCGTGTCTTCGTTAATGACGCTATCTGTAGTCTTTGCTGCATTTTTATTGTTAACACACAAAAATCCGCATTGGGCCTGCGTATTGACTTCGTTCTCCCTGTTTGACTTCCTTTCCTATTGCTGGAACAAAGGAAGCTATTTAAGCAATAGGAATATTCACAGACTGATGAAGATTTGTCAAATGACACATTTTGAGTTCTGATTTCTTCCCTCAATTTTTCCTTATAACCTACAGTCTTATAAAACAAACCTGTTTATATATTTCTAGGTGGTAGGACATAGGGAAGGCTTAGAGATGATGGAGTCCGCTGATCCATTAGTACTCCTGGTGCTTTTGCCGACCATTCCCGTCACGTTGATCAGCGCTAAAATGTACAACTGGGAAGACTCGGTGCTGCTCTTTCTAAGGAAGTACTGCCAGAAGATACCGGCGTTGGCGTACGTACTTCCTTTTGGCAGGTAAGTTATCTATATATACATATATGAAAATATTTTTCCCTTGCCATTACACGTGAACAGCTGGATCGATTTCGCTAAATCTTTTTATTTTTTGTTAGGTTTCATGAAAGACAAAATAAGAAAATTGTGTGAAAAATTTGAAAAATTAAAAATTATTTCTAATCTAACCTTAGTGTTTTGTAAGATATAAACTTTTTAAATGTAATATTATGACGTCCGACATAGAATTGACAGAATGCGTGTTGAAATTAACGTCAAATGTAAAAAAAACTGAATATCGTTTAAAACTGATGCATCGGTCGGTGTTAATTTGTCGATAAAAATACATAATTAGGACAGGACAACGTCTGTCGGGTCAGCTAGTGTATAAATAAAAAAATAAAGCTAGTGTATAAAATATAATAATTTAAAGGATACTAGAGTATTAATTACATTATATTATTTTGGATATACATTGAATTGTATTGTTTAAAAATATAATTATCTTTTTTCTTTAGATATTAATTCTTAATTAGTTGGTTCAGTAAGATATATTTAAATTACTAATTATTAATGAACTAACATTTGAATCGGTACTAGTCGAGCTTAAATATTTATTTGCATATAAATATGTTTGTTTATAAATAATAATAGTAGGTAATTTTCTTACGTTACGTTACTCGATTTCGTGTCAAGTAAACAGATAAGATCGGCAACATCGCTTAAAAGAAACTAGTAATATTGACAAACAATATAACGTAAATAAATATATATGTACAAATTAAAAAAATACAATTAGTGCAATAAATGCTATTGAAACTTATCCCGAACGGGTTCCGATGATTTAAAAAGTATTGTCGTTAATGGTTCAATAAAAAAACTAATTTACTGTTACAATATTAAGAATATAAAAACAAACTTATTACCACACTCATTATTAAATTACTATACAAACGCATACCAAACGAAGTCAATATGATGGTCAAGAATGGGGTTACATTTTATTTATTGCTATTGCTAATCTCTGATTAAATTTATTTTTGATTACCACTGTTTTTAGCGTCTTTACTTTTATTTAGTTTTTACTAACTAACAAACCAAGAATCAATTAAATGTTTCCAGGCACTTCACTAGCCATCTACCGTAATCTATTATGCTGCTATTTAAAAACGGTGATTTCGCGATGTTCTTTACATTACGTGCTTATTACGACGCAATGTAATAAATATACGCACTTCTCCAGCAATGTATATTTTCTTAGAAATATTTTTGGGAGTTACACTTTTGATAACATTTCACGAATTTCGACTAAAAATACTAAAGAAGAATGGCGAAATCAGACCCCATAATTTACAAAACCGTACATGGATGGCAATATGACAAATAAATAATATATGATTAATAGATTTTATTTCTACAAAATGGTGAATTTTAAAGTCGGGGAACCAAACTAAAATATTAAATGCTGCTATTAATTATCAAGATAACAAAACGTCTGATGATAGGGCAAAAACAAAACGCGAAAATCTTCTTAAGAAACGTTCTGGTCTACGCAGAAGTACTTTAATAATAAAACTATATCTAATAATAAAAGGGTCATCTATTTTAATGGATATTATCGTTTCCTGTACATTACAATTAATTCTATTGCCTTTAAAGTACCATTAATACGCTTAATAATCGAATATAAATTCAAAATAAGATTGTATAGAATAGATTCCGTTCTCTTTAATTAAAAACCACACTATATGTCAAAGGGTTTTAGTTTGGATGGTTTTTGAAAAATCGATCACATACATCAACGATGTCAGAAGCGATTCTCAATTAATCGCGAGTTTTTTTAAACATATTTTATAGAATATTATCTGTCGTCATTAACTGCTAATAATAAGTGAGATATGTGATTTAATGATGCGTACGCGTACCGACTGAGCGAATGAACGTCAAATATATACTCAATATAAAATCTATATATAATATATTATATGAAATACGATATTTGAATACTTTCATAAATATTTATTTTATTCGTTCAAATTACGAATTGAATACTTGAGAAATAAAAAAATTGAAAGCTAAGATACCACAACCGATTTAAGAAGATTATTGTCAGTTCTGCAGTTGATCCGATGAAAGGTTAACGTATCGATTATTTTGTTCTAAATAATCGATTGGTTGATTTTATTTTGACATGCTTGTTTAATTCATCCATGAATGTTCTATGATGATGATGGTGGAATGATAGCGGATGATTAGTTTGGTTTGTTTGTTGTGTGTTCGTTCATGGAGTTTGATATTTATGTTAATATTCAACTTGACAATTAAGCATGTTTCTTTGACTAACGTTGATATTTGCATTACTTTTGGATTCCGAATGGCAATCGATTCGGTTATATCAATGACAGTTCAATGTGTACATTGCCCTTATTTGTCACTTTCAGTTGTAATGATTTAATTAAAGGCAAAGGGATCTAGTCCACACAGTCTAGTCATATGTTATAAATGTTTCTTCTATTATAAGTGTCTGGATCTTGTTAGATATGTAACTATCTTAATCTAGTTTATTAAACGGAGTAATCTGGTTACCATTTTTATTTATTTTAACGGCCATTCAACGAAAAAGCAAAGATGCAATATATAACCCCACAAAGTATTTTATGCCATATCTTTTTAACCCCAACTTTTAAAGGAAAAAGACGATTAGGATTTTGTTACTTTAGTTTATACCTTCAAGTACACGTTTATTTCATTCATGAACGGTACTTTAAAAATTCAGGTCCAAAGCTATATGGGAGTTCGCCATTGTTCTTTGAGAAGTGTTCTTCTTATTAATGGAAAGAAATCCTTTCTTTGGACCTACTTGAGGATGGGCTTCTTGTTTTGCAATTAATAACTGCGCCAGTCGGCATTTTTAACACTTTTAGTGGCGTGTTTCACAGTACTTACAGCGCGCGCGTTCGTGAATGACTAAACATCGCGATCGCGTGGTGAAGTCACGATCCTGTATATTTGTCCAGGATCGTGGCCACACTGCCACGCACACAAGGTCTCATACGGGACCATATTCCGCGCGCAAGATAAGCCCCCCCTGGGCAATCTGTTTCCTTTGTTCGTACTGTTGTTGCTTCGACATTTTCCGATTTAATCTCTCAGTCGTTATATCCTGCGTTATCGCTGCTGTGGCGATTTACCTGAATGTTCTAGTAACACATATTAAGTATGCTATTAGTTTATCAATGATGATTAATATTTATATACTTTGTATATGATTGTAAATACAATACACAATTCAAATGTAGATAATGATGTCAATATTAAAGGATCTATTTTTAAAGTACATTCAATTGATATTTTAAGTTGTTAAATCTGCGTATAAATTTAATATTTTGAGACTTTAGTTCGAAATTTATTAGGAAAATGCTTGATACGATGCAGTCAGAATTTTTTAATATATGTTTAATTCTTACGCAAGAGTATTAGTTTAGGTCCAGATTTTAATGTATCATATTATTTTAAGTATATGTGTATTCATATTATTAAACGGAGACTAAGCAAAGGTGCATAATAATAATAATTGTTTATTTGCAAGAATATGGTACAAATGATATTACATAGTTATTAACAATAGTTTCTCACATTCTACAGTATATGAACAGTTAACATAGTACGAGGTTCTACGGGAGTAATATTTACTTCTAGAAGTTAGAAGGTTTGCTTACTTTCTGTTAAATATGAATTTGGACTAATGGGTAGGGGCCCGGAGATTGCACAGTTGCGCATCTCTGGTCCCTAGTCAGGGGCAGCTGGCCGGTTCGCGCACCGGTCGGCATTGCACGCTCCTGCCTCGTCGTGGGGATGCGTCTCGAATGTCTCTGAGACGTACCCCCAACCCGAGTGGAACCTGCCCTTTCAGGGCAGGATGAAAAGGGGGCGAACTGCGCGGTGTATGGCCTCCGGGCCGATCCCGCGCCTCGCCCACCATGAGAGGGACATCGCTGAGTTTTAGTGGGTAAACTTCTGGATTTGGACTAATACTTAAATTGAAATTTTAGCGTAAATTTACTCCGACGCTAAACCTTGTTTATTAATAGCACTGATAAGGCTTACAATTTTTATATAATCATAAAAATGTACGATTCATTTCAGCGTCGAAGGCGACAGAGGGGCAATAGTGTCCGGTCAAACGACGAACCATCAAAATCAGAACACGAGCTCGCATCTCTCGCCGACAAGGATATTCTGCTCCGCTCTCCTCCTCCCGACCATATCGACTATAATAGGCAAGATATTCTTCCGCTCAATCCAGAACAACTTACACAGGACTATATTAGGAGGCCTAACATACATCACTATAAAGGGAGCACTGAAAATATACCACAAACAAATGTTATACATTAGACATTCCAGTAGAAAAATACTCGATTACACAGAGTCGAATTTGAAATTATACAGAAGTACGACCACCACAGACGCCGTTTCCAGCACGAGGGACGACACGGAACAAGTTGTCTGAAGTTACATTTAGTTATGTGAAATATGTACATAGTTGCTGGCATTAGTGTACGTATGTATATATGCCATTTTAGAATTATTCGAAAAGTTCTTATTAATAATGTCGGTACTTTGAACACTGTCTGCTTTATTTAACATAAATCTCTTATTTTTGCGTTATATTAACTTCGGTTTGGATATTAAGTATGTTGTGAAATCTACTAGTATAAACAGAAGACTAAATTTAAAAAAAATCTAAAGAAGAAAATGGGCATATGGTTCTTAATAATAGGAACAATAAAAAAAAACGTAAATTTTGGCAGGCCAAACACGCATTTTAAAAATGTATACTAAGTTTACATAAACAGCGCCATTTATACATATCCATTTATTATAATCATCAGATTAAATATTTGCACCGTGAACCACTTTTAAAATTATTTGTAAATATGTATTAAAAATATACGCGATTCCAAGTCCAGTCATAGGAGTTAATGTTGATGTCAATAAAAAGATGTCTATATTTCTATAGAAATAGCGATGATATGAATGTAAAACAAGATGGCGATAGTGTTATGACATCTGTATAGTAGTCGTTTTAAACTAAAAATACTTTTCTGCGACAAAAAATACTTGTCGCAGAAAAGAATTTTTGTTTAAAACCATTAAGAATTATTAAGGAAAATAATTCTTTAAAGAAAATAATATCTTTATTAGATTTTCTGACTCTCGCTAAATGTAACTTGATATACATTTGAAGAAGCTCATAATGGCGTTCCTCTTTTTGACTTTATGTAGTCATAGGACTAAAGATTTATTATGCTTTTAATGGCTTTCATACTTAGAAATTATACATCGTTTAGACGAACTACTTTCCGAATTTTTGAACCTAATAATATTTAGCATATTATTATGTTAATAAAAGTCGGAAAATACTCAAATTGAGTTGATTTTTATATGTATTGCATTTTTATGCACTGCCAATTCTTTATTATATAACGTTTTTGGATTTCAAAAATTGAATCTCGAATTTAAAACTGACTTTTACACAGCACAGCAGGCATTCAACTAGAACCGTTATAAAAGATGTAAAATAAATACTAAAAGGCGGGTTCCGTACATAAGGTGTACTGGTAAAATGTTTTAATTAACAGGATTTTGACAAAGTTATTTGTATAGTCTTGTTTCAATTATATTATTGCAATTTAAAAGTTTCTTTTTACTCTGATATAACGTTTAAACTGGAAAGACGTATAGATATTCAACAGTGCACATTTTACCTAACTAGCCAAAAAGCTATTTAACATAATCATTATGTGATTATATTGTACCGGATAGTTTAATCAACTCTTTAAAATCAAAATTAGAAAATTATTCTTAGTGCTTTTTGGGTTATAAGTATCGTTAATTTTGAGATTTTGTTATACAATCAAAACTGGAAATAAAATACTATAATGTTATATAGAGAAAAGATTTTATTATTTGTTTGTTTGTTTGCATCGAATAGGTTCCGAAACTATTGGACCGACTTTAAAAATTGTTTCACCTATGTTTAGTTACATCATACGGAGTTGACATAAGCTATAATTTACTCTTGCGAAGTCGCGGGAAAACAGCTAGTAAAATATAAATAAAAAGTTATAGTACAATACTTTAAAAATTCTAGCGTCTGGCACCTCCAGACTAGTCGAATTCCATTTTATATTCTTACCGCCTAGATTTTGGACCTGTGTGTAATTTTTCGTTTAAATTGGTTTAATTTAGTAAATATAAGTACACGGTTGAAAGTCAGGATACCACAATATGTCAAAATTTCACAATTGAATTTAAACTCTACCTATAACGTTTTAAGGTTTTTAAAATCAACTGGGAAAATTTGGGCAGTTTTGTGTAACCTGTCATTACTTAGTTATTGTTTTTTTTAATCTTACTAGTAAAATTAATTTTATTTTGTACCTTAAATGTTAGCAAATATTAAAATAGTGTAAAAGTCAATAAGACTTTAAATATTAAAATAGTGTAAAAGCCAAAAGGACTTAAAAAAGTTAACTTCATAACAAACACAAAAACCATTCTAAACCTATAATAAATACATAAATACATTACGTAACATTCATTGTTTTACAATGAATGTTTTCTTTTTTTATGTCTGAACAATTTTTAAATCGTATTGGAGTTTCAATTAATTACTCTTTATAATAAAAGTATCTTTAAAAAGAATTTATCTTTAGATAAATCTTATTACTCGTACACATTTATTAAATGCAACATTTGAACGACTTAAATCATATTAATTTATTGTAGATGTAACAAAGTTCTTTAATATGAATGACATCTCAGTGCTGCGGTTGCAAAATAGCTTGCAAAATATCGTTTAAAATTTGTAAGTAAATTACATGCGTCCAAACGTCGTTTAGTCAAAAGCTTATTTGTTTATCAAATTGTATTAATAAATAAAAGTGACTATTTCTGTTATTAAATTACATATAATACATTGAAATTTACAATAAGCAATGTCGATTTCCAGTTATTATAGGTAAATACAAGTGATAACCTACCATACTATTAGCCTCCGTGGCATTCGCAAAGTTTATATCTCGATCGCGTCAATGCGGCAAAACAAATATTGTATATTTATCCTAAAAAGTACTTATTGTCTCTGGTACAAGATAGCATTTTGATTGCCAAAAATTTACTAAAAATAAAAATAAGCATGAATATTATGTATTATCTCTGAGTATCCGAGTGGCTGTAGTACGACCTCTTTAGGCTTTAATGTATATTTTTAATTGTTATGCTTTTGTAAATTGATTGAATGAACTGTTGAATTCAGAGTCAACTGTGCTATTTTGTAAAAAAACAAGGTTGAACTTTATCGGGCATAGCGCTGTAACAGCAAAGAGGTTCAATAAAAAAAAACCTACATCTAAAAGGTAAGAAAAGATTTTATTTGACCTTTATGTTGGACAGACCGAGTTCGAGGCTGTTTTAATTACAGAAAATAAACAAAGCCGATTAATATTCGAAATGAATCATTTTCTAATTACATTATAATTAATTGATGAAGAAACGATGGAGTGCCTTTGTGTATAAAATATATATGTATAGAGAGAAAAATATAGAGCGCCAGTAATTTTCTAGTTCTTTTCTTTAACTATATTTGGCTGAATCTAATAAGTGTACATATAAAAAATTCCATTATTTAAAATTAAATAACGATAGATATTTCGGTTTTGGCAAATATTATATTATAAGAAGCAATACATTAAAATATTTACGTTTTTTTAATTATATATTTTTCCTGTTTTGACTACGTGATGAATTTAAACTTTGTTGTAACACGAATTAAATTCATTCCGACGCGAGTAGCTAGACGAACTCGAGATATGGGCGGGTGTTTAACGCGGAGTGAGATATTGTACCAGTCTCTCGAGTTCGTTATGCTACGTGGGTTGAAGACACCTTTAAAAATTAGGGTCTAGTTTATTGATTGTAACACTATTTACATTTAAATGTCAGCTTTATTCCATTCAATTAGGGCGGAAAATTCACCGTTCACTCGATTACAAAGTTCATACTATTTTAAGCTCTATTCACATTGCTTAAGATTGATATTTACTGCATTGAAAATTAATTAATTAAGTTTCAGAAAACAGTCTTCCAAGGAAATTATAGCTTACATATTTATGACCTCTGTATTATCACATGCTGAGTGCTTGTTATATTGTTAAAAACATTACATTAAATATGACAATAGCTTCATACTGAGATATTGGATAGGTCTTTAATATATAATTATTCATAGTCGAAGCGTTCATTGCTCAGATTATTAATTTTAATGTTATTTACGGTCAATTGGACAATCGTCTATTAAGGTTTAATGACGCCTTTAAGCTCTAATAAATGTAAAATTGGTATGGGTAATGTCGCTTTAAACTAATGAACATTTTAATGGACGTTTGTGCAACTTGTCAATAGTCAGTTTTATTTTAAAAATAATACGGCATGATGATTCTCTTGCCTCGTAATCTTCGTGTTGTTGAGAGTGATATTTGCCTGCGATAAATATCGAGTGATTAAATAATAGCTCCCTGTGTTTCATGTCCAGTAGAACTTAATAGAGATTTGTTGAGTACTATTAAGTTAGTTCTGTGTTCTCAGCTATCGACATTTAAACGAACCCATAATGTCCCATTTTCAAGTTAACAATCATAAATAACCAGTGATGGGAGTGTCGTCAATCGAGAAATCAAAACTGAGGACTAAGATGTGTACTTACTGGTGAAAATAAACCGAGTAAAACTTATATCTGTACTATACTGTATTTGTACTCTTTGTATCTCCTTTGTATTTTATATAGAATCTTAATAGTTGCACATAAGATTCTGTACAGAACGAAATTGACGTTACGATTGAAATTGTGGTAATTTCAAATTATTTTGATTTACGTTTTGACAATCGTGGCAATTTGAGCATTATGGCCGGTTTCAGAATTGAGAAAAGTACCTAAAAAATCTCAATTGATTATTCTCAATAACTTGAGCTTTTTTTTCCTTTCGCAAGTCAAAACGCCCTAGTTTTATAAAATTGCTATTAACTGATCATTAAGAAAACTAAAACCAGAACGGAAACCTGTTTAAGTGACCTTTAAACTAGACGTTAACTTCAAATTTTATTTCAATTGGGTGTTATCCGACAACGATGTAACTCGACCTTACTGCGTTCGGTATAAAACTCAGTATTGCACTTGTCATTTACATACAATGACGTTGATAGTATACTTTTCATTGTTGATTATTTTGTATGCTTTGTCGTCAATTCAGTCTGTGGTTTAGGAAGGTGCTGTCTGTGTTTCAGCCAATTAAGTTATTGGTAATGCTCAAGTCGTCACGGCAAGTTAGTTTTGCTAGTCTTTTGTTAATTTAGCTAAATGTCATGTCGTTCATGGCATATTTGTAAAATAATGCTACTTATTCTTTAAACTTTTTGTCGTGATGTATAATTTTAATAAATTTTTTTTTTAATGAGATAAATTGTGTTTTATTTTAGTTCGCTGACTGTGTGATTTCCCTTTTTTTATTCCAAACATTCTTTTGGGATTAATTACGACAAAGATCAAGCATTATTATAAAGATTATTATCTGTTTAGTTATGATATGGCTTCGCAGCAGATACTCGTGGAAAATCCATAGTAATCTTGTCATTTATAGAGTATATATATTAAATGTGAACGCTATTAGGAGAGAATATTTCATATAGCCTGATACATATACGATAAAAACGGAAATAATTCGATATAAGCCTGGAATATTTTTAATCAAGTTTGTGAGCCAATTACAAGAGACTATATTTAAGAATCCATTTCATTTTAGCTACGGAAGGTATAAAAAAAACATCAAGTCAAAAAACCTTCATTTCCTTCACGCAAAATTACTAACACGACTTTTTTCACAAATTATGGTTTTATTTATCATAGCGCCAATAATTACTGAAATCCAACTTAAAAATTTACAGGAAATAGTCATTTTTATTAAACTTTATTTTTTATTTTTTTGTAGTAGTAGTAGTTTAATATGATTAAACTTTTATTTTAAGTATTTCTGAGTGGATTTTAATGATATTTAGTAGAATATGTGTTTAACTCAAAAGTCTGCTTCATATATTTCGTGTTATATTTTTGCTTCATAAACATGCAATATTCCCATGGAAATTTTCTTTGGATTCAATACAAAATATACTTAATGCAATATAGTAATATCAATTGAAGTCGTATTTCATTCTTAATATTCGTGATTTTTAACAAATATTTTTCGTCCGTGTTTTTATAAAAATATGAGTTTCCAGATATAATACCTATTAGGAAAATTTATGTATTTCATGGAAGTAATATAAGTAACAGCGCGAAAATACGTACAAGTCACTTTATATGTATTTTGCTTATCATGCCATTGAGAAATTAAAGGATATTTATTTTTTTACACGATATATTAAATATACGATACCCTCATAATAAAAAAAAACAACTGTTATGTTTCAATGTTTGATCTCCATACTGAAAATTATTCTTAATACAAAATGCTTAAAAAATCTACTTGATCCCTAGCACCCTGAGATGGGAATCGAACCTACGACCTTTCCCAATCCGGGCGACCGCTTTTAAGCATTTTGTATTAAGAATAATTTTCAGTATGGCATTGTGAACGCAAAATTAATCAAACCGCCATACTGAGAGTTGGTATTTGTATCAGGCTAATATTTGTGTTTGGTTTTTTAAATATCTAATTTTTTCCTTTAAGGTAAATATTTTCTGTTGTCTACCAAAAAAATAAAAAGTCCGCGATGCGGCTTTAAAATTGCAGTGTAATCAATCTTACGACGATCATTATTAACAGTCGCTAAGGATAACATTAATTTATTATCATAAGTATTGATAAATAAACCTTTATCTTATCACCGAGATATATAGAATTATGGTAAACGACTCTTACAATGGATGCAGTGTATGTTTGCTTATGTTAAACTGCGCCCGTTATCACACTAAAAAGAGAATTAAAGTTGCATTTCAAACGACGATATCGTGTGTATAGTTCCTACTTGTAATTGATTGCTTCTCTGATCGAGGCAGAAAGTAAGTAATTGTGTGAAAAATTCAAGCTAAGATATTATTTGTAGTTTAGATTTTGACGGTTGATATACGGTCGGTTGACGAATATCATGAAATGATCTGAAAGATTTTTCAAGTTAGATGTGTTCAAATTTCTTCACTTTTTCGACGATTTGTTTGAAATTATAATAAAATAATTTAATATCAATTATTATCGTTTAGTCCCATGATATGTGCTTCTAAAGATTGCTTTATTTACTAAATAGTTTCAGTATTTTCTATTTTATACTTGGAGAAATCGGTAAACTAATGCCAATATTAAACATAATAAATCATTACATTACATATTTTAGAAGAAAAAAAATATTTGTGCTGCTACAAAAGTACAAACATTAATCTGAAGACAGTGTCCAAATAATCTATACTTATAATAAATCTGTAGAGAGGTCAATTCTGTAAGTACATGAAATATATTTCCAAAATTAGGGATCGATACTGATGCCAAAAATGCAATCAGTAAAATTTTTTTCTGTCTGTCTGTCTGTATAACCGTTATAGAAACAAAAACTAATGGACGGGTTTTAACGAAACTTGGTACAATTAGTTTTCATACTCCTGAGCTGGTTATAGTATACTTTTCATCACGCTAAAATCAATAGGAGCAGAGCAGTGAAGGGAAATGTTGGGAAAACGGGAGAAGTTACTCCATTTTTTAAGCTTCCGTCGCGTGTGCAACCTTAATGGTTAAAGCTACCCAGAAATCATGTATGACTGAAATGTTCTCCTAAAAATTATATAAAAAATATCGCACGACAGCATATGTCTATCTTTTATGGTTGACTCACAATAACACGTGTAACTCCCGATAGCTTAGCAGTTCGAAGCTTTCTGATTGTATTTGTCTATTGTCTACTCTTACATTTATAACACTCAGTCATCCCTAATTAAAAAAATCACGCCGAAACTACTGAACGGATTTTGATGAAATTTGGTATACAGATAGGGTATTAGCTGACTTAGATAATAGGATACTTTTTATCCCACTTAACATTTCCCTAGTATATAATAAAATTTCAGCCTTAATGCGTTTATTACTTTTATCGCTGATGCGATTATTTGTTTCAGAGAAACGCCGGCGATGTTAAGATAGATTATTATCATTAATGTGTTTTTGAGTTATTTATAATGGCGAAATTCTTAAAATCTTTCTTTCAAACTGAGAAGAGGAGCCACAGTTACGAAGGTAGTTCAGAAGATGACCGTATGGACCTCCCCTCTACTATGGAAGGAAGGAGAAAACTATCTGTATCTCGCTCTGGACGAATGAAGCAGGCGCAGAAGAAAAGACTTTCATTGAGTTTGGATATCTATGGAAATGTATGTTAATCTACACTAATATTATGAAGAGGAAAGATTTGATTGTTTGTTTGCATCGAATAAGTTTCGAAACTATTGGGCCGATTAAAAAAAAAAAACACCTACGGGAAGTTGTCACAAGCGGGTGATATAGGCAATAGTTTACGCGGGCGAAGTCCTGGCGAAACAGCTAGTTTCAAATAACATACTTTGTAAGTTACTTTTAAGCATGAAAGTCAAATTGGTCTGGTATTTAAATAACGAAAGAATCTTAGACTATATAAATATATAGACCAGTCATTCAATGGATTCACCTGTTTTTTGTAAAACTGCATCGAAAAATTTGAAATTTGGACAATAGCTTTAAAATGATACAAATAACAAAACTGACGTAGTGCTGATGTGCTTTTACCCTGGTGATGAGTGCCACCCCATCTTATGGGTAAAATAGAAAAATAACCAGTGGTTAGAGCAGTCGCCCGGATTGCGAAAGGCTATAAAACAAAAATGTAGTTTATTTTTTGATAAACATTTTGATTATGTTTTAATTTATATATCTCAAAAATTTAATGAGATAAGGTCATATTTATATTTAATTTACATGCAAGGGGTACATTATTAGCTTTTCAAACCTTAAACTCTCTAAAAATGATAGCAATTTTAGTTGTGTAATAATTATTTCAAATTATAGTCTTTATCTCACTTTTATAATAAATTTCATGATCTTGAATTAAATAAGAAAATCCACACTTCTAGACCTGGAAAAAATCTAATTTAGTTGTACATTATCATTGCAAGTTAAAAAAAAATAAACTAATTACAGGACACTCTTCAGATGCCGGAAAAGCCTAAAAAAATGGAGTATCATGTGAACCCAATAACCTCTACAGCAAACTTCACCAATCAGAGACGACGGAGCGGCGATTCCAAAACGTCTTCAGAAAGCGATAAGAGTATTAAATCAGAGGAGAAAAATGACCCCAAAACGACGGAGATTGTTCAAGACGCTAAACAAAGGAAAATGGACATTGTAGAGAAAGTGAAGACTCCAGAAGAGGAAATAGATACAGCTTTCCAAATAATAGATAATACATTATCGTAGTTGCTGTTTATAGAAATTGTGAGTGAATGTGAAAGAGTTTTATTTTACACTACACTACAAGTGTGAATTTATAATTTAATTTTAAACTTTTTTGCGTAAATAATCTATTAAAACTTCCCATGAAGGTTAAGCAATGTTAAATATGTTCTCGAAATGAAAAATAAAACACCGACGAAAGTTGAAATTATATTCGGGTAGATACTCTCTTTTTCATGACTTGCCAGATAAATATATGTACCCACACTTAGTGATTATATATAGAATAGGTAGGGAAGCCAGCGGATTTATAATATACTTCTTATTTCTTTTTGAAACAACAACATGGTACATCGATCTTCTTTCCCCTTCTAACCTTTATAAAATGAATTTGTACTAATATTTTTTTTTATGATACGCACAGATATAGCGATAATGCATAAACCTCAAAACATAATTATTTTACTAGATAACTTTTTAGTAAACTGACACAAAGTTCCAAAAAAGAAACAATTTTAAGCTTTACGACTTTAAGCTCTAATTAATATTCTAAATTTAAAAATTTGTATCGGTAATGTCGCTTTAAAGTAATGACAATTTCAATGCACATTTGTGCAAGCGGTAGTGAATATCATTATTATGTGAGCCTTTAATACGACGCCGTTGTTAAAGTAAGACGCCATCATTACCCTGCTTTGACCACTGCAATTGCATCGCAGTAACAGCTCATGGTATTGTGGGTTCATTATGTTTAAATACGGGACGAATTACTTATACTATTATATGTAAAACACAATTGAAACTATATTATTCAAAAAGTTTCCTCTATCAAAACGTGTCACTAGATCTCATAATAAAATAAATCTTATCACAATAACTTCATTTGTAATTTAACATCTGATAATATAAATGTGTTATCTATTTGCCATCAGATAAAATTTGTCCATTGTTATTGTTAATAAACACCCTTATCATTATTCTTTGTTGCAGAAATTATCATAGTAATTATGATTGCTTTGTAGATAGTAGGTAATATAAGAGATATGTACTAATACACTATTATATAAGTACTTAAACCTATAATGAATTAAAAAGTCAAGCTATATTTTGCAGCACGTTACAGTTTTTTCCTGTCGCCTTGTATGACTTTTTGTGAAGTTCAGAGCCGCCTTTTGCTAGAGCGAGAAAGATAGCACGTTGTATCGCTTTGATTAGGGTTGCTAGGCGTCCGGATAAAGCGATTCGTGTCCGGCCAAAATCAACGGTGATTTTGCCGTAATAGATCGGAACTAATCCTGTTTCTGTTAGGCTTTTTACATTTGAATCAAACATGTTTAGAAACTAAACTAGCTCGAAAAATGACCTTAGCTGATTTTGTATTTATTTTACCTGTATTCATTAGAATTTAAGAAAATTTTATTGTAAATTATCAGAAAAGCTTGGTTTTTTAATACAATATTTTCCACTAAGACACAAGCTCCTCAAAAATGTCTTTTTATCGAAATGTCTGGCCAAATAGGCTGGACTGGTCGGCACTTTTTTCTTATTCTGTGGTCCGGCTATGTTTTGCGACCTGGTAACCCTAGCCTCCAGGTTTACGCGGATCTTTCATGTTCTTGCAAAAAGCGGTTCAGAGCGAGAGATACGAATAGGGCGTCAGAAAAAGCTCGAAAAAGTGGCTTTTTGTGTGACTTGAAGCACAAATTATTCCAAAACTATAACATTACATGACTAATACACGGCACTTACTTATTGCTGGTTAGTTTTTGAGAAATTTCTAATTTTCAAGTGCTTGAATTAACCGAATATATAAATGTTATTGAAATAGCTTTGAGACAAGTAACGGAACTATTACTAAGAATTCTCTGTCTGTCTGTCACCAGGCTGTATCTCATGAGTCGTGAAAGTTAGACAGTAGCAATTTTCACATATGGTGTATTTCTGTTGTATATAAAAAAAAATCACAAAATGTTACCAGGGGAGGGGGGAGGGGTTGTTTGTGGTAATATATCACGTGTATTTATTTTTACGTCAAACACGCTTTTAATTAATCAAAAAGCGGTGTCAAAAATTTTATAGGTATTAAAAAAATACACGTGATATGGGTGGACGGTGGAGGGTAGTCTTAAACATCACTATTTTTCACCAAGGAGATACATAGTCAGGAGGGTGGGCTAAAAATGCTGAAGAAACATCACGTGATTTTAAACGACCCCTATGGCAAATAATATTTGTTGTTAATTTATATTCAATCTTTTTTAAAGTGAAATAATATGTGAAAAAAAAAAAGAATTTTAAATAGCGACTGGGTTATTGTGATGACATAATATATGATTTCTGATTATGTATCTACATAATTAAAAAAGTAGCATAATAGTATTTTAGAAATAGGAATAAAAATAAAGACTGATTGTAAGATTTGTGTTTCTTAATAACAAATCCCCTCAAAAAGATATTACGAACAGAATCTTGTTTTAAGATTTGATTGTTTGTTAGTATGTTTGTTTCCATTGTCCCGGAAATACTGGATAGATTTTAAAAATTCTATCACCTACAGGTGGCTACAACATACGGGGTATACATTGGCTAATAATTTGTGAAGTCGCGGGCTAAAAGCTAGTTACATATATCTCTGAGCTATCTTAATCCAATGACATTGAAAACGTCATAATATGCGTTGCACTGCGTTATATTGATTTTTATCATTCCATTCGAAAATTAATAAGATAATGAGTGATGATTTCTTATTTACCTAAGAATTACGCTTATTATAACAGTCATTTCCAAAATAGTGTCATTATTCTGTTTTCACTTCTCACATTATTCACATATATTCTCGATACAGCTAGCGCCGATTAGTTGCGGTTATATTACCGTGTTCCACTTACGATGCACAAGTTTAAGGTAAATCTCCTCCGTTTCGGCATCATAAGGGCCTTTTCTTCGTGCTTTTTCTGTCATAGTACGGCACATCAGCGATGGCAATAAAAAAATTCAAATTATGAATTAAAAACTTATTTCACTTATAATTTATTATTTACAAAATGCTACATACGATACGAAGGACATAATAACTAAACTTTCATCCTCTTCTTTTTAGGTTTAATAGGTAGGGGTCCTCCAATCTTGAAAACGGTGCTGAAAAGAAAAGAAAATGTTATATAATAAGCCGGTAATACAAAACTCTAACTTCTCTACTTGTTTTAAACTATCATGCTTTGAGAATAGAATTACTTAAACTGACATGTTACTGTGTGTATAACTATAGAGAGAGGGCGAAAGCAAGAGAGGGGGGGGGACGCGAGAGAGAGAGAGAGAGAGAGAGAGAGAGAGAGAGAGAGAGAGAGAGAGAGAGAGAGAGAGAGAGAGCTAGTCTCTTATTGCGACGAGCCTGTTTACATATTGTAGTCAATTGTCTTAAAATGATTGTACAAAGCAACGTTGTTATTGTTAAAACGATAACTATCGATAGGAATATCGACATTTTCAATAGTATCAAAAATTTTCAAAGTAAAATAGGCGATACTATCGACATTATTGAAGTAAATATTACAAAGACGATTTTTTTTAACCATTTTAACAATGAAATAGCTTAGATAACAGGCATTAAAGTTGAGGAGTGGGGGTCTCGCTACGTCACAGTTTTGTGGAAAAAGTACAAAAGCGTGAGTCATGTCATATTTTAACTAAGGGTATGTTCCGATATACACTGCGAGCACTGCGCAGTGGTCTTACTGCTGAAAAATCCGTTCCGTTATGGACTGCCAGTACACTGCTACAGTACCCTAGGGAAATTTATGACGTCATAAATTGCCGCCATATTTGTACTGTGAGCACTGGAGATTTCGAGGTAAGGTGCTCGCAGTGCTTATGATCACGTGATCAGTCGAAACAGAATCAGAAAATGATAAGTTTCTTAATAAACAATAAAAAATACTTACGTTTATTTATAAGATGGATTTAATTGATAAATATTTTTTTATACAATTTTCCAATTTTCTTTTGAAAAGAGGCAATCTTTATATTTATATTCACCTTGCATTAACAAATTTGAAAATGGCGCCAAAAATAGGATTAACAGTATACTGGACTGCGTTCCGTTTTAAAAAGTCACCAGTATAACTAGCTATAAAGGAGGGCTTCCAGTATACTAAATTGACGTCATACTGTTCAGTGATCGCAGTGTATATCGGAACATACCCTAAATATATCGCCGTTATTTAATGCTTACGTAAAAAAAATGTTTAATATTTTACAATAATCCACCTGACGGACAAACAAAAAAGAATTTACTCATCATCCCTAAACTATTGTAGAACGGTCAACATATTGATAGGGCCATTTACTCATTTAGATTTCATATCCAATAGGTATAAGATTTGCTACTATCGATCTTTAGATTTAATTAATGATTGTGATATTATTATTATTCTTATGGAAACTAAAAGTGACGTTACTTCGTTGGTAAAAAACAATATTATCTAATTTAGTTAATATCCGCGTTAATAATTAAAACAAAACATATACTGATTAGATCCACAAGATTGAGTAGTAGAGTAGTTGTCGTATAATATAAGGTTTACTTACTGACAAGTTGTGCATATCGGGCTGAATTTGCAGAACACTGTAATATAATACAATAGAAATTATTTATTTTACGGTTAAATTAAAAAATAATATTATTTACCTTTTTTTTTTGGTGTAGCCGATTATAATAAAATTACGACAAAAATAGTGATAGCTTTAAGATAGATATAGACTAAAGAAGATTTGGAGGAAATAGCTCTTTCTCAAATATTGTTTCAGTAATAGTTTGAATTATTTTAAAGAAAAATTACAGCTATAAATGTAACATAGGTAAAAAAAAAATTATATAAATAGACATTGACAAGCGTTGACAGATATGCTATACTAAATATACGCAGCAGCACATCAGGTCAAACGACAAATGACTTTAGTAACCTCGTATTAAGGTTTTAATTCAATTGAGGAAAATGGACAGCTTTTATAATTTTGTGTGCTGTTAATGATAGTACAATTTAATAATAATCAGCTATTTTTGGACAGAGATACTGATACCCGTTTTCGCTAAACTACTAATCTACTAACGAGAAATCACTTAATATTAAGAATAGCTTATGCTTACATCAAACCTGTAACGTTAGGTAATGCCTTACTAAGCATTTGCTTAGAAAAGGCAAAGTTTGTTTATGATTATGAATGCTTCAATTTGTCTTCTTTTTTTATGTATATTTACACAATTTCGCTAATGTTACGTTAGTCGCCTTTACACGTTAAGATACAATAACAAATATGCATATTTTTTAAGCATTTTTCAATAAGAATATTTTTCAGAATGTGATGGAAAAGATTAAATGTATACGTCACAGCCAAGTGGAACAATCAGCCGACCAATTGGGCGACTAGCCATTTAATTGAATGGTGCCATTCAATTCTATTAAAGGGCTAGCCGCATATACACAACGCATATCTTAACTTTAATCGTTGCCCAAAGTCATTAGGTGTCTCCTTGTCATTAGTGAAACGCATTTTCTCTTTAGACACTGTCCAAATATTTAGGCGTCAGATTTGGGCGACTCCTAAGTTTAGTGAAAATGGGCATGAATAATATAAAAAAAATGTTTAATACATGTGAAAATATAGCGTAATTTAATGTGAAAATATAACAGCGTGTTTGTGTTCAGTGATGTGTACAGTGTAGACTGACCGCTGAGACAGACGGAGCAGACGTATCCTATAGTGAGCAGTTCCCGATGACAGAAGCACGCCGCCCTATAGTCCACGCGTCCTCGGCCCGGTAATACTAGCTTAGTACGCTCTGATGCCTCGGGCAAAAATACCCACTGTATTAAACAAATAAAATAATCATGTTTAAGTAAATAATATTGACAGCATATTAACTGACTTTTGCCTTATTTAGTAGGAGTCCTTGATATTTCAGCACTATTGAAAGCGCAATGAGCATGGAGCAATGATTTTCACGGATTAAGTTGATAAGTGGTTAACTAAATTCTCAACTTAATTTTCTGGCTGGCTTATACGTAATATGTTTAGCTTACACATATTAAGTTGCTAAGTAGTGAATTTAATTTTAAGTCATTAAGTAAGTTTAAACACACATTGATCAGTTAAAATTAAGTTAATAATTTAATTAACTACTTATCAACTGAATCCATGTAAACAAGCCATAACTGAAGTATTGCAGGTGGATTTAATTGGCCGATATATCGATCCACTCTCCTTAGAGTTATCTATCTGTATGTTACATGTAATAAGCCCGTAATAAAATGAAGCAGGAGGAATTAGCTAATGGAATTCCTTTATTTTCAAGGCTTTACACTGATATCTTTCAAACTACAGAACGATTTTGAATACAGTTTATAACATTAGATAGAGTGGTTTAAGAAGAAGCTTTCTCTGTATAATACAAGATCACGTGGCTGAATCTGTTGGCGGTAAGTTTATGTAGAATGTTTCGTATTTTATATATTTCGATGCCAACGGCGAATAGTCAGGTAAAATTGTTAATTATAATTCATTTTTGAGAAACAAATCAAATGTAAGTTATTTATATATCAAGTATTATATACTCACCAGTAAATATTGGAGTAGCCCTTCTAGTGATGGCACTTTGAGATACAACCCACCAGTTATATCGCAGCCTTGTTGAAGTAAACTCAGGTGTTTGTCGAGAGAACATACATCTATCAGAACTTGTTGCTTCTGAAATTTTTTATATTAATTGTATAATGAATGACACATAATTTTGAACCTGTTACATAATAGAAGAGAATGTCTTCCGTCAAATAAAATTATTAGTTTATGTATTGGTGACATGAAATATGTCAAAATTCCTTTAGAGGCGATACAGCTTAAGATAAATTAACTCTTTTGTTTGACTCACCAGTTTCAAGGTGTTAAGAATGGGTGTGATTCCGCTTGGGTTAAGGTAGAGTTCTTTTTTATTTAATCAGCTTGGTTATACTTGTGTTATTTCAAATTTCCATAACACAAGGGTATAAGAGCAAAGTACACATAGATATTTTGAGGTTATAAGCAGTCAACTTAAACATTTTACCTGTGCGGTGAAAAACACATTCATGTAGTTAATGTATTGAGCAGCAGTGTCTGAACTGCCCGTTACTATCAATATGCGACTGCTAGTCTTCAAGCCGGGTGTCGCCTCGCGTCGCATCTGAGGTTAAACACAACATATCATACAATGATTATTATTATACTCCTTTTTTGGAGGTGTGATTTGGTAGCTGCATCTTTTTAAAGATGGGTAAAACTAAAATAATTTATAATAAATTTAAAAAAGTCAATATCAAAATATACAAATATCTTCTCCAGCTACCAAATTGCACCTTTGATAACTGGTTATAATTATTACATATCAACTATCTATGTATTATTCTTAAAGTGGGGTCTGGAAAATGAAAACATGCTACAGACTTGTGACCCCCATAGCAGAAGGGTTTTGATCTGTCTGCGACAGATTATAAAAACCTGAAAATAAAATTCTGTTTCTGCTAGTGTAATTTTTTATTTATGTAAGACTGCCGAACTGTCTGCAGACCTACTCGGCTGTCTGCGACAATGTCGCAGTGTCGCTCGTTGTTCTGCCTTGGGGCTTGTGACTATGTTTCCATTAAAAATTACATCTTTCTCTGAAGTGTTAAATATTTAAAATTGATAAAGCATTTTTTTAATAATTAAGTAAGAAGTAAGAAAGCAAATTTAAATTTGCTTTCTTACTTATTAAGGATCTTACTCTGGCTATGAAGCAAAGAGCCATTGCCAATGCTCCAGCTAGCAGCGACTCCCCGGGCTTTTCATCTAGAGGTTGACTTTTTACAAGATTTACTAATCTGGAAAACATATAACAAAGAACAATGGCGAACTCCCATATAGCTTTGGACCTGAATTTTTAAAGTCCCGTTCATGAATGAAATAAACGTGTACTTGAAGGTATAAGCTAAACTAACAAAATCCTAATCGTCTTTTTCCTTTAAAAGTTGGGATTAAAAAGATATGGCATAAAATACTTTGTGGGGTTATATATTGTATCTTTGCTTTTTCGTTGAATGGACGTTAAAATAAATAAAAATGGTATCCAGATTACTCCGTTTAATAAACTAGATTAAAATAATTACATATCTAATAAGATCAAGACACTTATAATAGAAGAAACATTTATAACATATGACTAAACTGTGTGGAGTAGATCCCTTTGCCTTTAATTAAATCATTACAACTGAAAGTGACAAATAAGTGCAATGTACACATTGAACTGTCATTGTTATAACCGAATCGATTGCCATTCGGAATCCAAAAGTAATGCAAATATCAACGTTAGTCGAAGAAACATGCTTCATTGTCAAGTTGAATATTAACTTAAATATCAAACTCCACGAAGGAACACACAACAAACAAACCAAACCAATCATCCGCTATCATTCCACCATCATCATCATACAACATTCATAGATGAAAACAAGCCTGTCAAAATAAAATCAACCAATCGATTATTTAGAACAAAATAATCGATACGTCAACCTTTCAGCGGATCAACTGCAGAACTGGCAATAATCTTCTTAAATCGGTTGTGGTATCTTAGCTTTCAATTATTAAAGTAGTATTTCTACGCAGTATTTCTGCGTAGACCAGAACGTTTCTTAAAAAGATTTTCGCGTTTTGTTTTTGCACTATCATTAGACGTTTTGTTATCTTGATAATTATTAGCAGCATTTAATATTTTAATTTGGTACCCCGACATTAAAATTCACCATTTTGTAAAAATTAAATCTATTAATCATATATTATTTATTTGTCATATTGCCATCCATGTACGGTTTTGTAAATTATGGGGTCTGATTTCGCCATTCTTCTTTTACAACCTTTACAATTATTGAAAATGTTCATTACTGGTTACTTCATTTATTATCAATTTAAAAAGTAATCATTATATCAAATGTAAACAATTTTGTAAAACAATGTATGAAAACATGTTTTCAGTAGAAAAATGAAATTTAAATATTATTTACATTCAACTTAGGTAATTAATCACTATTGTAAAAGCATGCTTTCATCATATCTATTTGTTTATAGAGTAGCTTGGTGGCGTAGTGGATAAGCGCCGCGGCCGATCGTAGTCGTTAAGCAACTTTCGCAAGGGTCGGTCACGGGATGGGTGACCTAAAAATTATTATCTCTAGCTACTCTGTGCTTCGGAAGGCACGTTAAGCCGTTGGTCCCGGTTGCATTTGCAGTCGTTAATACCCTCCAATCCGCATTGGGCCAGCATGGAGGGTCTTGGCCCATCCTCCTTAACCATCCATAAGGAAGGCCTGAGCCCCTGCAGTGGGGACGTAAAAGAGCTGATGATGATGATGATGATGATTTGTTTATATATTACTAAATTCAAACTTGTAAATACTTACCTCATTTTAATAGTTTTTTCAACAAGTGTAAATAATTCATATTGGCCATCAATTTGCCTAACATCTAATGGTTTTCCTGGTGAAGGATATAGATATTCACTGTAATATAAATACAATAGACAGTATTAAAAAAAAACATTCTTAACATGGATATGAAACATTAACAAACATAGAATTATAAACCCACAAAATTATTTTTCAGAGTGATCCATTTTTTTTTTACTTTTAGAAAAAAATCTTATGAAAATACTTTATAACAAAAAAGGTAACCCTAGGTTGATTAACACAGAAATATTGTAAGTTCTGAAATAAGTAATAGGAGTGTGACATCGTGTGCTATTTGTGGTCATGTGACAATCAGTATAAAATATTTGTTTTTTCACAATTAATTTAAACAATATTATAAATATAATAAGCATAAAAGTATGATTATCGGTAATAGTATATTAAACACTAACACAAAATAAATAATAATTAATGATTATACAGACCTTTTATGAAAATGACAACCAATCACTGCCAATTGGTTCCTAGATTTTTGCATCAGATGTGAGTTTGCAAATGCAATGACTGCATCAAGGCAACCTGTTAATACTTTTGGATCCTCCGTTATGTACCTTTGGTTTGGATTTGTGTCCACAATGATAACAAGTAAACTACTGTCAGAGGGCTCTGAAAAATAGAATCATACGTGTTGTGTAATTATTTAATCAATGTAGCGTATTTATTTTTATAAAAGTGTTTAGTGTTAAATAGGTTAAAGCCATAAGTCTATCAGCAGATATGTAACCTAAATTTCAATAAAATATGTATTTTTAGACTTTTTTTTAGTTATAATTGAAGTTGTTATCTCACAACCAGGATGTATGTATTAAATTTAATTAATAGTTTCGTGTATAAATTGATTAAATGATAAAAAAATAACGTAAAACAACATTTTATTAGCACTTACGTTCGTCGTCTGCCATATTTACAGTATACTTATTTTATATGAAATACACGATAGAGTTTTTTTTTATCGATCTGTTTACTTGTATTTGTTTTTAAGAAAGTAAAATTCCACAATTTTCACAAAATACAACCACAGAAATGTATAAAAAAAACAACACACGAACATAACAACAAAAGAAAAATATCAAATTGACAATGGCATTTTTTTGTTCGGAACCTTATTAAAGACTAAGGGATCTAACGCGTGCAGTCTAGCTGAGATAATTTTTCTTGCTCTTAAACGTAACTGGTTCCCTGTTTCAATTATTATTTAGTATTTAGAGTTCATAGAGAGATAGGGTTGACTTATTTACGAAAAACAAATGTAATTCTCTATTTTTCTCGCTTTTTATGTTTCATTTAAATTATATATTTATTTATTAACGAGTGAATCTTTTGACGGGAATTTTTATATTAATTATATATTTTTAGCACGCACACTCAGCTATAAAAATATTCTTAAAAAAATAGAACTAGCCTCTGACTGAAAAAAATGAGAAATAATACTTATATTAAAACAGACTTATTCAAAATTTGCTATTGAAGTCGGGCGGAGATTTTCTGTAGCTAATTTATAAAATAATAGCCGTCCAACTTCAATAGTAGTGTCTAGAATAAGTCGCTTCCGACGACTAGTTTGTGAGAGATCCGTAAATTAGACGTCTCCCCATCGTGAGGGTGAGGGTGCCCCACATTACGCTTGCCGACCTGCGCTCTCCATTCTAGACGTTTGCCCCACCGATTTCTTTAGTGTATTTTAAGTTTTATTTCACTCTATAGCTTCTTTTACATTATTTACTATGCAGATTAGAAGCTCATTCCTCATTTCTTTATCTATTAATATACTTTTTAAATTATTTACATTTACTTTATTTTTAGTCCCAAGTCTATTCTTGCCAGTTGGTCCAAACACCAATTGGAATTCTGTGATTAGGCGGAGGACAGTTTCTTCTACTACTGGACTGCCTATATAGTCTGGTTTATCTTTTAACTATGTAAGTAGTGGGCGAAGCCTCCGCGATCAGTGAGTGCCTGGAACAAAAGGTGACTAGGCTCTATTTTCCTTATAGATTTGTATGCAGTTCAGATGTCGGGAAGTATATTTTTGTTGTTGATGCTGTTTCTGCCTCGTCGTACCTTTTCTGCCAAACATTCAATGATCGTTCTCTTTTATTCGTTTAACATGGTATACTGGTACAGATAGCATACACTGGGAGCAGTTTCTTTATGCGCTGTTTCCTCATGCCCATCCGATTATCGTTTCTACCGCTAATACGGCCTGCCTTTTGCCACTTTAACTTGCTAATTCGGTGGGTTATGTCGATAACTTTAGTCTGTGTCGAATCACCAAAATGAGGTGATTCGTCTTTAGTCTTTCAGAGAAACTCCGATCATAACCCTCTCCATAGCTCGCTGAGTGGACTCATCTTATGAATAAGTCTTACTTTGAGTGTCCCCGTTTCGGCTCTGTATATCATAACTCATATCATAACAGGTAGGACATACTTTGCCATAGTTGCAGTCTTTAAACTTTATGGGAGATATGACGCAAAGATTTGACGTTATTTACCAAAAGCTGCCCAACCTAGCTGTATTCTTATTTCGATCTCTTTTTTGAAGTTGTCTTTGACCAACTGTATTATCTGTTCTTCTCGATCATAAGCGTTGTGGCAATGAAGAAAAACAATGAAGCGTTCTGTGCATTAATTGCTAAACTTAACACGAATTAAGAGCCGTAACACGAATTTCGTTATGTGATTATTCTGCGATTGTCACAACGCGTTTTGAACTATTTTTTCGCTCAATGAGTGATTTCAACCTTCGAACGTAACATATATAAACACATAAAGGGTCGTCAGTCAGGAAGGGTTATTGCACTCTGGTACCTGCATATAGTCACATTGACCAATCGCTATTCCAACGATACAAATACAAAAAAGCTGTCATGGACCTGTGTAAATGAGCCATAAGAAAGTTAATATGAGTTTAGAAACAAAATAGATGAAACTCTGCAACCCATGCGTATGAAACAACGGCTAGAAAGCTTAAACCTGTTTTAGTTGGATTTTTAGCACTCTAGCGGTTGAAAACGATAGGCCTAAGTTGGGTATGCAAAACAAAATTAAAGTATGTACATAATAAGGTTCACATTGCACACAGCCTGGTCTATTGATTTTATTAAACATGAGCATAAAACCGCTTAAACATTGGCAGTGCTATTAATAAACAAGGTTTAGCATGAGAAATCAAAAACTGAAACTGTAGTATTAGTAGAAATTCATATTATACGATGAATAAGCAAACCTTACTACCTTCTAAGAGTAAATATTACTCCCATAGAATCTCGTAACCTTTGCTAAGTCTCTGTGAAATAATATGAATTTTGACTAATACTAAGTGCAGTCTCATCGTAAATTTTCTTCAACGCTAAACTTTGTTTATTAATAATACCGTGGTGAAAATGTTAGTCACAATGCAATATGATTACCGTCAACATTGATTGATGGAAAAGAGCAATTCCATACCTAGCATTAGAGATCATATTTAAAGTAGTAAAAATGTATGTCATTTATGATTGGTAATCAGTATACATTTTTTTTTCATTTATTCAAGAGCTCCATGTAAATATTGATAAAAGTTTGAGAGCCGCTAGCATAAAGTGAACAGGCACAAATACCTTGTTAATCGTGAAATAATCTAACTAATTGTTTCGTAAGCAATTGGGGACAGACGTCAGGAAGACACTGAGATACATATTTGTCAAATACGCATGCCGCGCATTCCCCGTGACCGGTATAAGGTACAATTCATCATAGTTTGACCGCTGGCGCCCTATAGTTTAATATTTATTTTATTTTTAATGTCGACCACTCTAAGGATGGTGGACACAGTTTTGAAATATAGAAGTCTGTTGTTTTAAAAATGGAAATATTTTGAGATTTTAAAAAATACGTTTAATTCTAACAGCTAGTTGCACAAACGTCAATTAAGGTTTAATATAGCTTTTAAGCTCTAATGAATGTGTAATTTGTATGGGTGTTCTCGCTTTAAACTAATGGCAATTTTAATGGACGTTTGTGCTAATGTCTGATTACCCATACAATATTGACATTCATTAGAGCTTAAAGACATGATAAATCTTGATGAACTTTTGTGCAACTGACAGTAAGTATCTAAAATTATAATAGGTAGAGATTTAATTTTCAAATGCATTTTTTATTTTCTGCTAATTAGTTTGTTTTTCGTTATAAACTAAGCTTAACTTATATCGTGAATAACTATTTAATAACAGATTTGATTTCAACTAGCTGGATGGCTTTCACTATAGACATTTATATATTTACATGCATTTCTGCCATTGTTCGATTATCTTTCATTATTTTATAGTAGGTAGATACATATTTAAATGTTTTCTAATAATACTTACTAGGCATATCTGACTTTAACATCTCGTTTTATTACTATTTATTTATATCTCTGCACTCACCAGAGTTACCATAATAAATATTTGTACTTTAGTATTAAAAAAATATTGTAACATTACTCTAACTGGGGAACAATAAAACATTACTTAAATACAATCAAAGATGCTAATAACCCCTTCGCCTCTCAATGGTAGATGCGTGATAGAAACTACAACTATTTGTACCACAAACCTGTCCTATAACTACCTCCTATTACATTGATTTACGTACCACTTTATCAGGACGTAAGACGGGAGCTTATTATTGCATCCGAATTGTGTTTCATCACGAGATGACGCGATAGCGTACCGAACTTATGTCATCTGTCAAATATTATGTTAACAGCGCGGCGCACGGCGATCGGGCTACGTTGATAACATGAATAATATGATATGAGTGATGTGATGTCTTGTGCTACCTGTCATTTTACGACATTGTTTATACGGGCTTAATGGTAACTGTTGTGAATGCGTTGGTGGTCTGAGCGGAAAAGTGTAGCGGTTTTTGTAGGCTATTGTGCGTTGTGTACATATGTTAGGACGTACGAGTCACGAACAAATTCAGTTTTTATTAATGAATGTGTTCGAATAATGACTTATAAATTTGTTTGTGAAGTCATGGGATGTTTTGATAAATACTAGCAGCATTTTTAAGTCATTCTTACTTCAGGACGAAAGAAAAATCAAAGATGTTGATTCATATTTGTAAATAAGAAAGTAGGTATTAACTATTTTTTGGATAGAAATATTTTTTTTTTTCATGCATTCCTACAAAGGTTGCTTACAAAATAAATTGACTAACTTAAGTGAAAAAAAAAAACAAAATTATACCCATATTCTCTTCTATTCTTTCTAGTTATTTACTATACACTTTTTATAGAGAAAATTGCTATATATGTATGTGTTATTTTTTATGGAGAACTTTAGCTTTAGGTATAATAATGGTTTATGAGTAATTAATAAATAAATATTTTTGATGTGTTATCTATCCATCCATGGTCTGGTCCCATGACATCACGATCTATCTTATTGTCAGTTGCATTGATTTCGTCGCTTTTCTCATTTGTTTTTACGCCCAGTCTTAAAGGATATTCAGATGCAAAGATATATAATAATTTATCGTCGCTCAGATCCCAAAATAAGTATCTAAAGCATTCGTATTACGACAGTCGAAATCAATGAAGAAACCACAATATCCAGATTCAATACAATATAGAAAATAATTATAATTTTCTATATTAACCCGACCAGGAATCGGATCTGGGATTTCAAAGATGGCTATAATCTGAATCCGGTGTGTGAGCTACTCGTCCTCAGATAATATATATTTTAAAAGTTGCTAATCGAATTACGATGTTACTTGCAAATTGCTGGTGGAATCACTTTCGGGCTATACCCATTTAAAGAACCGGTGTCGGCTGAAATAATTAACATCAGCTAAACTTTAACAGTTGATTAAGTGAAAGCGGGCAGTAATTCAATAAGATTTTACGAGAACATTGTTTACTGGCTCCGTGCCGGCATCGGGAGACGGTGCATTAGTCAGACTGCCCACACTCCAGAATCGGCCCGCTAAGAAACAAAAAGAAGAGTAAAGGAACGAAATAATTATTCACGTTCCGTCTCGTAATGGCAGCGCTACCGTTTCGTTTTAATAGCTCGCTTGTTCTCAGAATTTAATTACGCCCGCCTCGCGCC